CCTGCTCTAGACCGCATCTCATACCAAATGATCAGTGCTATGTCTAAAACTAGTAAAAAGAAATTACTGGACCTATATAATACGGTATTTATGACTGGCCATATACCCTACATGTGGAAACTGGCAACAGTTGTTCCAATTCCAAAGTCAAAAAATGTCTCCATCGCATCTGATTATCGCCCAATTTCTCTTTTATCTTGCCTCTCTAAGGTTTTAGAGAAGATTATGGCATCTAGATTATCTTGGTTTCTTGAATCCAAGAACCTGATAACAAAGCAACAAGTTGGTTTCAAGTGGGGTAGAGGATGCATCGACGCTCTGCTACATATTGATTATTTCACAAGCAATGCAATTTCCGAACGAATTCACGTAACAGTTCTCTCAATAGATTTCGAAAAAGCATTTGACAGAGTTGGTCTTCATGTTATCTTAAGACTCTTGAAATCATGGAATGTTGCACCCAAATTTTTCAACCACATCAAGTCATCCATGTCGCTTCGGCGATTTAAAGTTAGAATCAACAATCATCTCTCTGATTCCTTTCCGCTAATGAATGGCATTCCGCAAGGATCTCCTCTCTCTGTCACGCTTTTCCAGATCGCTTTCAACGAAATTAGCGAAATTCTTTGCCGTGTACCAAGAGTGGAACCTTGTCTCTACGCGGACGATGTATACATTTTTACAAAAGAAAAAGACAACACGAAAGCAATCAACATCCTCGAATCTATTGCATGTGAGATCACCACATGAGCAAACTCGTCAGGAGCTATAATCTCTATACAAAAATCAAAAAAAATGCACATTTGTCGAAAACAAATGTGCGATGCAGGAAACCTACTGATGCATATTAACGACTTACCAGTACTAAATGTGCAGACGCTCCATGTTCTCGGGCTCACGTTTTCAAACAATTATCGTTGGAAAGCACACTGCCTTCGGTTAAAAAACTCCCTTTTAACAAGGGTAAATTTCATACAGTACGTTGCTTGGAGAAGCCATGCGCATATTAACACTATCGCTTATCTTACCAAAATGCTTGTGTTAAGCAAGATTGACTGTGCTTTGATAATTTATGGCAATAGCTGCATATCTAATATCAACATCCTTAAACCGGTCTATCACCAAGCCGTTAGAGCAAGTTGTTATGCTTTTCGGACGACGCCCATAAATAATATTATAATTGAAACTGGTCTCCCAACTTTAGAAAATAGACTTTATGAGTTAAAAGCTAAAATATTCCCTAGGCTTCTTAATTCAAACAAATCCATTCTCGGTGATGACGTAAGAAAGATTATTATTGCGAAGAAAATTCCAAAGTCACCATCTGCAATTGACCATTGTTTGTGCATCGCAAAGCAATTGAACATTCCCTTAAAAATTGCCCGCTCTTTTGGTGTTAAACCTCCCTGGATTTTGAAAGACTGCTCTTTTGACATCTCTCTGTCTATGCACAAGAAAGAAGATACTCCAAATTACGTCTTCGAGAATCTAACAGCTGAGAAAACTCAAATACTGGCGAGTACTGGCTGGAATCTTTTATACACACACACGCTCAAAATTTTCTGGTCTGCCTCCTGCTTGTGCGGTGGTAGATGCTACAGGACGGGTTCTTCTCAACCACATATTTCACGAAAGTACTTCAAATTTCATAACCGAAGCCAGAGCTATCCTTCACGCTGCCAACCTTGCCCATAAAAACAAACTCGAAACCGTCATTGTTACCGACAGTTTGTCTGTATTACAAGCTACTCGGAACCCTTCGACTTTGAGATGGAGCACCATCAACAAATTAAGGAATATCATTACAACACCCGGCGAAAAAATTGAAATGATTTGGTCACCAAATCATGTCGGGAAAAGAGCCGGCTGATCGAGCGGCGAAGTATGCTGCTTATGCACCTCTAATTATGGATGATGTCATGGAAATGTTGGATCTTCAAAGATACATTGTAAAAAAGTTAAAGAGAAAATTACAGAAGGAAATCTACAATACCATCATCAGCACTACTCTTCTGCTAACACTCAATTAATTCCACCTTTATATCCAACAAATGTTGAGAGAATCAAGACCCAAACATTTTCGAGAATTCACCTTGGCCATACAGTTGCAACTCACCAATGGATCCTGAAGAAGTCTTCTTCCAGCAGATTGCTGTTGTGGACAAACTCTTACCATAAAGCACATTCTCTGCGACTCCCTCAACTTTTCCTTGGCTAGAAGTATTGCATTTGGAACGATTAACCCTTTGAACATTCTACAATCAGCTTCAGAACAGAATATCAATTCTATACATTACTCTATTAACACTACTAAGCTCATTATCTAATGTAAATTTTATTTTTTTTTTTTTTAATTAGAGCCGATAGCCTGTGTTGCTAGTGCTCAATGTCTTTTTTTAGTTTAAGAATTCATTTCATTAGTCTAAAGTTAAAATAATAATAATAATATAGTAAACAAGAAGCAGCTATACACTTTTGGGTATGACATATATATTGATCCATTTTATGTAATGTTTCCGTGGTGGAATTGCATTGACCATGGTCGCGAATGTGTAGTAGTATTGTTGACATAAATTGTACTGAGGATAGTTACATATATTTTATGTGGATTGAAACAGGAGAAAAAAGAAGGAAATTTTTGTTCTTATTATTTATGACTGTCAAAACCAAAATAACGACATTGGGTTTTCCGATGAAATAAGGAAACAAGCAAAAAAAAAGTTCAAAGTGCTTAAACATTTTAAACTTTTAGTGTGACAAACGGCAATACCTAAATTTTAAGAGTTCATTTTAAGTTTAAGTCAAGTTAATTAATTAAACTTACAATTTGTGAAAAACCTACTGAAATAGTAGCCGCAGCTACTATGAAAACTATAAAACGTTGCAAATTCCAATCAAAGCCGCAGTAAGTAAAAATCAATCGCCAAATGGAAAAAATTATCTATTAAAACAGCGATTTGCTTGTCCTCTCCTAGACTCCTGACGCTGTGCATTAAAGCGCTATGCAATATTATTAACCATGTTTCATGCGTCTTCCATTAGAAACAGACATGGATTTTGTGAAAGCAACTCCCCAGCGAATCTATTTTATTACATTAGAAATTACTGACAATTAATGATTTAGACAAATTTTTTTATCTTGAAAAGTTTAGCTTAAATAGTACATAGTTCCTTTCCTTGTTTCAACTCAATGAAAACAATTTTTAAGCTTTCTTTAAATCACTTCTGTTTTTAGTTAAAATCTTGTACTTTGGTAGAATGCATATTAACACATTTCATAGTTTTTGGTATTATTGTCATTTTTTATTAGAAGCACGTATTCACAAAGATTTATCAGTCGCAACTATAAAAAAAAAAGATGCAAAAGACGGCTGAGAATTCACAAAAATAGCCTAAAATAGTAAGCAGTAAAGTGTAAGCAAATATAATTTAGAGCAGCAACAAAATAAAAACGTTTAAGAAAGATTTAATGGAAATGCTGAAGTAGTTAGCAAAAATGAAAACACACTACATGAAAAGCTTAAAAATAACAGGAAATATGTGTCATGTATAAAGACATTATAAAGGACATAAACTACTGGAATCAGAATAAGTATTGCTCCTAAAACATTGCTTGATCCAAAAGTTTATAATACATATTTAAAAGCTGCTTTTAAGACGCGAAAATTTTCAGAAATCCACCTGCGTCGTTATGTGTCTATACAATCGTGATATATTTGTTATCAGAAATAATGGTATTAGAATAATGTTTAATGTGGAGTTTAATATCACGATTAACTAATTACAAGGAAATAATAGAAGTTAGCAAGAAGGTTTGACGACTGCAACGTTTTACAACTTAACTCAATGAATTTAATTTAACGACTGTGCGAATTTAGAACTGACGACCGACTAATGACTGACTCTAGTTTCTCTGTGCTTCTTTGCAAATTTATATCATTCGTTGTACACTCCTCTATCAACTCTCCTCTATTTACTGGTCTGCGAGGCACCTGCACTTTACATTTGGCGATTCTGTTCATCATTTCTACAAGATGATAATAGTTTTCTTCCTCATCTTCTAAAGATTTGTATGGCTTCATATAATCAAAACAGGCGGTTGTATTACGAGCACTTTCAATGTACGCGACGTTTTCAACATCATAGTGCCTGTTACGTTCTATATTGACAATTCGATATGGACCTAAATACTTTTTTGCCAGCTTTTTCCCTGAGCCTAATTGTGCCCTTTTCATGGTCGCTACTTCTTCAACTTCATAACTCCTTTATTTCTTGCGATGTCTATCGTAGTGCTGCTTACATGCATCTGACGCCTACTGTATTTACTTTTTAGCCCCTTGACATAATTTATTCCTTTTCATATGTGTTCCGAGCAATGTTTCAATTCGTGAAAACTTCGTTGAAACATTTAAAGTGAAGTTTATCGCCTTGTCAACCTGTCTAACAACATTATATCACTCCGATGAATCAACCGATGGCGATTGCATCATATTTGCTACTATACTTGGAGTTATTCTTTCTATCTAACCATTATCCCGAGGCACACCAGTTTTTATCCGAATATTTTTAATATTATTTTCTGAACAAAGGCTAATAAATTTTTTCGACATGAATGTAGAACCTCTATTGGTAGTTATTCTTATTGGATAACCAAAGACATTGAGAACACGTTAAAATTTTATATATCTCTTTCACAGGCTGTTGTTTTGCGGCAAAATATCCATAATGTATAGAACATACTTTTAATTTTTACTATTTGCGTCTAGTAAATCTAAGTAGTCGATGTGTAGAGTGTGTAACCTGTTTTTGTATGCAAATTAAAAAGTCCCCTCGTTTTCCCAATCCACTGTTGTGAATTATTCATCCAACGCAATTCGCAATACATTGGTCTACATCTTTTTCTACGTGTGTAACGTAGTATTGTTGTTTAAAACCTTGAATTGTTTTCTGTACAGCAGAATGAGCCTGATCGCGTATGTTTTTAATAATTTCAGCTCAATACTATTTGACACCAACCAAACGTCGTTACCGTCGACTTATTTGTATATTAATCCTCTTTTTTCTACCATTGGGATGTGGGCGACCTAGTAACTCCAACTCGCAGCCATTCTTCTACTTTATCTTTAACAACTTTACATTCATTCATTGGTAAAAGTGTCGTTGACGACCATACGATGGAAATATATATATAATTATGATGATTGTAAGTACAAACGTTTAACGACTGTACTGTATTTTTGACTGTATTTTTTAACTCCACATATAACATATAACAATATTTATTTCTCTGTGATTCTATATAATGTTACTTCATTCGTTTTACTCTTCGCTATCAGCTCTCCACCACCTTGCATATATATACGTAACACAAACATATCAAAAAAATTCTGCTTAATATTTATATATTGATTTACACTAAACGATTATTTTTTAACATTTAACATTATACTACTTACCTCTTAAAATTTTTTTTTTGCTTTCGAATTTTCTACTTTGTTTCGATTTTGTAAGTAACAAGCAAATAAGAACTAAGCCAATGCGATATAGCTTGTATGTCCAAATTAAGGAACATTTGTAACAGTCGTTATATGCAGTCAGATTAAAATGTATGACTTTAGGTTTTCCAAGGCTTAATCCGATTTAAAAGCAGTTTTACAAAGGAAAAAAATAATAAGTATAATAAACTCGGTAAAAACATTATTCAAAGTATTAATGTTGTGGAGAAATGTAGTAGTTCGAATTAATATTATCAGAGGTAACTACAAATTAATTCCTTTAGGTGAGCATCGTTGTGAGTATTAAAAAGATCATTTAGGTTATTGTATATATTAAGGTGGTTAAAAGACTAAATTTACGTTGGTTAAAGGTTTAAACTTGAGCCGACTCTTTTTTATTGCACATTTGACATATATGGCAACATTTTTCTGAAGCTGAGCAAATGACAAAAGGTTAAACAAAGCTGAAGTCAGTACTCCAGTGATTTTGCATCTCAAATTCTGCTTCACAGATATTCAACCACCGTGAAAGTAGAAACGCTATTACCACGCGACCCATGTGTGCCATATAACTCTGACAGATAATTACATGCGCAAATATAGTTTAATTTATTACGCCTAAAGATTAATGGTAAATTATTTTTAGTCTTACAATATATTTCTATATATACATACTCTCCTTTTATCGGGTACTTTCTTTTTCTCTCCCATCATTTCAAACTATCGGAGAAAGCTGGTAGCTCAATGGGAAATAATTATATGGGTAATTATCACAATTCGCGTGTCTGTCGCTGAAAAGTTAAGATATCACTTTTTATCCTATGTTTTACAGAAAATATTTCGTCATAAGTAAGTTTCCGTATAGTTTAAGCAATAATTGTGCCTATAGCTTTGCTGCTAACTGAAAATACTACGTGGAAGTGAACTTGCAGATAAAGAGTGCGGGAAAATTGAAGGAATGATACTTGCTAGTAAAAAAATAGTCAATCGCAATACGGTGTTAAATTACCTAGATTTGATCCTAAAAATTATAATTGAACTAAATGCAGTGGTGGCATCCCAACCGTATATTAGGGGACCAAGCGGTTTATACAATATTTAGCAAGTAGTGAAGATATGAGTCACAGGTTAATAAAGGTACGTCACTGTTATTTCATAAAATGTTACAAATAACAAGAAAAGAAAAATTGATATCTAATATAAAAATTTTCCAATTCGTTCAGTCAGATCGCTGTAGGTTGTAATTGATAAATGCACATGTCATCGCAAAGCTAGGTAGTTCGGCAGCAATGGGAAGGCTAAATATAGCCGATTCCACGAGCAGTTACACTCAAGAAGAACGCGTCCAATTACCCTTATACAGACATACATACGGACAAGGCCTACTTATGGAAAGGATTAATCTAATGCCCAGGGCCACTATATACCTTCGGCCCATACTTTTGAGTGGGAGAAACCGAAGAAACCCTCCAGCCTACTTTTCTTATTTAAATAGAAATTTTAGCGCCTCTCTAGTATTTTAGAAAAATATAGAATAAAAAATATGGATATTTATTTAGAAAAAAAATTTCTATTCTCATTTCATTTGTGTAAAATAGTGTTTGAAATATAGTCTCCTGCTGACCGTTCAAACAATAAAAGAAAGAGAACCAAGTATATATCTACATCATCTTATTAAGTTGCAAATATAATATTAAATATATAATAAATATTAAATATAAAAAGGTAAAAATAAAAAAATACCTTGTGGGTTTGTGTGTCGACGTACACTGGAACAATGTCTACATGCTGGTGCTGTTGATAACGCCGATAATAACGACGTTGCGCAATATAAGGTTTATCTTTTTTTCTCTCACAATCGTATTTCATTTCATTGTTGTTAAAAGAAGCATGCAACTCTGCGCCAAAAAGGGATTGTAAAGTTCTCGTGTGGGAAAAAAAGTCAATTTTGACACGTGGAAAAGTGAAGAAAATGGAAAAAAAGAGAAAGTGAAAGCGGTGAAAAGATTTTACAATCATGAAAAAAATAAAGTTTTTTTTTTTTCTTTGATCGAAAATGAGTAAATAAATGAAAGTAAGAGTCTTACAAATTTAAAAGTGGAATTTACCAAGTTTGATTAGAAAATCGTTCTTAGAAAATAACATCAACCACAAAAGTGTACATTTAATTAACTCACATAGCAAATATAAAATTGGAGAAAAATTTTAGCATTTATTATTATTGTCTTTTATACCATTGGATGTCTTCGCAAATTCAAATGGGCATATCTCATATTTACGGTGCTACACTTTGTTTTTATCGTGTTCGAATGTGCTTGACAATACCACAAATTAATATAAAAATAGCTATAACATTAAACGATAAACAATTAAGCGATATATTTCTGTGCTCTCTAACGCATAAAAAAAGTGAAAAAAAGGAAAGGTCCCTCTTGTTTTACGCCGCATATGAATAATGAATATTGTACAATCACTTTAAAGGAAACTGGATTTTCCGCTAAATAAAGCCAAATTGAGGAGACATCATTAATAGTGTGTCGTTGCATCGCTTTATACCGCGCACACATATAAGGCAGGTAATCAAAACAGCTATAGTTTCACTAGGCAAACAAAAACCACGACATTTTTGGCTAACTATTCTTTGTATTTGAAAAATATTAAATTCTATGAGTTTGATAAGGACTGCACGTTGGCTGAAAGCAGTCACATCTGTTTTGACTTGTTTAAAGAGCATTTACTTACTCTAATGGTTGATTAAAAATGGCTACTTATGGAAATATGGGCAAGTATGCGTCAATTCTTTGGTGTGACTGTCCTAGGAGAGTCCATGCGCAAGTTATAGAACCCCTCCCACATCTCACGAACTAGCTAGCTCAGCTGTGGCAAGTAGACTTACTTGATAGGCATCTATTCCTATTCAAATGGTACCACAAAGTTGCCCTCATTTTTGTGCAGGTAACATTTTTACGGTTTAGAGAACTGACAGAACAAATAAATATTTATTTATATTTAATGTTACAATTGTTGTTGATAAGACTGGGGCTGACGATTGTATTGTGTCGTGGTGATAAACACATTTATGGCTACCTTACCATTGCTTCAAAAAACACCATCTGATTTAGTTTTTAACCATTTCACTTTTCTTTTAACAGTTGCAAAAAATAGTTCCAACAAAGTAGCCAACAAATGAATACATATTATATACATATATGTTGGTGATTATTAATGTTCGTATCAACAAGTGTGTAAATTCTTAAAAACTTTCAACATCTATGCGTGAAAAACATTTCTCTTTTTTCAACTTTTTCTTTTAACTGTTTCTTTTTTTGGATTTTTCTTTTTTTGTTTGCGTTTTTTTTTTTTTTCGTTAGTTTCAGCAACATTTTTAGCGAAATTTTCAACAAATGTGTTTGAAAAATTATTTGTGCTCAAATTTGTATAATACAATACAATACAAAAAACAATTTTCAGTTTCGTTTCTTTTTCCTTGTCCTACTACTAACCTAACAATGACATCATAAACATTTAAAAATGCAGTAGTTTTCAATTTTATATGCACTCAAACTCATACATATTACACTTGCTTCTGTGTTCCCTTTTATTCTATTATTTTTCTAATTCCGTACATTTTTTCATATCCATATATATATATATATATATATAATATCTGTAGAAAATTTAGATTTTGATAACTTTGTCCCATACCTAAATTTTCGCGAGAAAATAACGGTAACAGAACTTATCCTCTTCTTGGTTATGTGTAGTATGGGAAGTGCTAATTAATGCGACAAAGCCACACAGACGAGAACAATAACGTATCAAAAATTTGCGACATTTATTATTATTTCACTAGCACTTGCTTTTAGTGGTTTTTTATTTGTCTTATATGAACTTGTTTATAAAAATAAAATACTCAATCTTCATTTTTTAGTAATGCATTCAGGTTTCATTCTACACTAATTTTTTCGTCGCCATGTGAAAAACTCGGCTCTTCCATGCTATACCGACTTCATTCTCTAGAACCACTAACGATTAAAATTAACAGATGTTGGAATTATAACAACTATTAGACTGTCTTATTTACTGTAGAATTATTAGCTTTTGCATTTATAAATGCTTGCGCTACACTATCGGAGTCGCCATACATACATGGTTGCGAACTGTCGACTGCAACAGTTTACTTTCAGATTAAAAAAAAAAAAAATACTTTAGCCTGTAGAAGAAATAGGAATTACAATGGCGCTATTCATCTTATCAACAGGTGTTTCAAGCAACATTTTTTTTTCCATGTTAAACAGTTCAATTGCTAAAAATATTTCAAATCGCAATCGGCTTCCTATCATCTTCCACTGACATATAGAAGGGCTCTTATTATGTTATTTACGTTTTGCCTACATCGAGTGGTGCGGGAATCTTTCAATGTACCAACCATTAGTTAATACATTATTTATACTTTTTTTTTTAAAAAAGGACTTGGCAGTCGTGCATTAAAATATGTTACACATTCTGTGGGGCCAGTGGGAACAGAGTAGCGGCAAAAGTACCGCCTATTTGTACAGATTTATCTATACCGGAACTCTTCTTTGTAGTTAATACAAGGCGCTATTATTAATAATGATGTTACTGGTCTAACGGGTTTCCAACAAATCCGTTTTAAAAAATTTATTTGCAAGAACAAAGAAAATATTCGAATTTTTCGTATCTTGATAAAAATTTTCAATTCAAACGTACGGGAATTTTGACAGTTCGCTCAATTTTCTGCGTTTCGGGAATGGTAACTGTGCATACCAGTTTCTGAGTTCCGATTTGTAACTCTATGACGTTTTACACTAAAAAGACAGATTCACGGTTGCTCACTGCTTTATAGATAATGACTACCATTGTTAGCGTGTTAATCGTTATATGTAAAATGGCCTACACCACTGGAAAAATACTAAAGTTTGGGATTAACTTCTTCATGTCGTTTAGAATTATTTGACTATAATTTGCAAAGTAAATTAGTTTTGTTATAGTTTATCTTTATTTATTTATTTCAAACAACAAAATTCGGCTACAAATTTTCGTCATCCGAGCTATAACCATGTTTATCTAAAACTTGTAACCAATAACTAGTATAGCATACATACTAAGTCAGAATACATCCGCAATAAAACAAAAGTGAAAAAACAAAATGTATCTAATATTTAACTAATTAGATGTAATGATCTTAAAACTATGTAGCAATATCAACCAAATTAAATCAAATTCGATCGGGACCAAATCTTTTGTACCCACCACCGTTATCCTAAAAAAGACATAAGAAGTAAAAGAACAATATTTTCATGCGCTATAATATGGAGTGGGCGCAGCTGATTTTTTCTATTTTCAAAATAAAAGCTTCTGTCGTATAAGTCGTGGGTACGTCCTTTGAAAGTTAAGGTCAATTCAAAATACTTTTGTAAAATTGTAGGCCCTCCACTCTAGAAAAAATCTCACCTTAATTTCTTCTTCTTTGTTTTGTAGTAAATGTCGGAGTACCTTAAATTTAACTGCTGCCTCGATAGTATACTCCGTCTATCTATACAAAACCAAAGATATTCTTTTCTCTTCTAACTTGAACATTTTTTTGTCAAAACGCCAAGATCTAACATATTGAAGATACTGCTACACATTCGGTCACAAAAGAACCTCTTTCCTATGGAGTTGAAATAACACGGTATTAAAAATTTCGACCCATTCACGAAAGATGAGCTTGTTAATGACATGTCGAACGATTTTTTTCTGTCATTACAGAAAAATTAAAACGCAAATTCTATTGGGAATTCTAGCGAGTTATCGAATTTACTGTCAAATTTGTAGGGACATGTTATCACTAGCCAAGCAGCTTTTGCTATCGACTGATCAACTATCAACAATCTCTTAAAATTAGTCTTTTACTCATCATAACTTATTAGACCTGCGAATATTTTTTAACCTCTAATTCGCTGCCAGACTCATCTCCGCTTTAGGCCGCCTTACAAATTTTGCTTTGGTTGCTCTTAAGGTTTATTACGCGTTGTTTTAGAAGATTTGGTGGTCTTAGGTAACCGATGGAGTTTTCGGATTGGTCGCCTAGGCTTGAATACAATTCGGTCGTGTCGTCAACTTTTGTCGTTGTTATTTTGGTAAAATCGAATCCATTCAAAAATAATTTTTGTTATTCGTTGTGGACAGTTTTTTGCATCCATTTCGCTCCGTTCGAACAAAGCTTGCATATATTACCCTATCTTTGCTTAAAAGAAACACAGTTTTATGTTTTATGGCACAATTTATATACCGCATAAACAATCTTGTCGCGTCTTTATACTGACGTATTGAATTGAAGCAATTTTACACAGAATTGAATAAATTCTGTTCAGAACTGACCCAATTCTATATAGTGTAAATGATAGCAAATTTTTACTTTACAGACGCAATCAATCCAGCCAATCGCAAACACAAAGCATATATTGCTGAAAGAGAAAAAGCGGAGGAAAATAGCAAATTTGTGGCAGATCCAAAAAAAACGTAGAAAGAAATAAGGTCAATAGAGAGAAACGCTTGCCTTATTAAAAGAAAATTTAATGTAAAACAAGTAAGAAAGTTAATTTTTTGCCACTATGCTTTTCGGATTATACTCTCCAAATTCTTTTATTTGATGCCCATATCGATGGTATTACTAATAAAAAAAGTAATCGTGGTGGCTACCATATTTATTTTAGAATAAACCCATTTTTAGGCAGATAATATGTATTCATTTGAGGAATCTGCAAAATAGTTTTAAATATTCTTTCTTGTTTGCGTTATGATAAATTAGTATAAAATCTCAAAAAAGTTAAAAAAATAAAATGTTATACTTGTAACTTCGTGTGGGCATGGTCAGTTTTTTCCATTTTTTCACGAAAAGGGTAGAATTTTTCATAAAGCAAATGTGGAAAATTTCAGCCTACTAACTTTTTTATTTTTGAGTAACAAGCAAAAGGCAACAAATTTTAGTTAAGAAAAACGGTGTCGCGTTCAGTTTATGTTCTAGCGCGCTTTTTTGCTCTGATCAATTTGAACCATTTTGAATACCAACATGCATGCAAAAACTTCCAATGTATCTATCAAATTTGAAGAAAATATCTCTATATTTGCGACTAGGAAAGTGCCAACAACAAATGCCACGCACACGCAGAGGCGGACAGAAATGGCTTAATCAATTGAAAATTGCATGCTGATCAAGAATATGTATACTTTATAAGGTCTCTGAAACTTCCTTTCGGTTGTTACATACATTATGAAGAAGTAAAAATGAGTATACCTCCAGTGGTGTTATATCCAACAGTGGTGGGTATAAACAGAAACCAGTAAGAAAATTAAATTCGGTCGGAACCGAATCTTGTATACCCATCATCGCTTACCGCAAAAAAGGCAAAAGAAGTAAAATAACAAAATTTTCATGCTCTATAATATGGAGTGGGCGCAGTTGCTTTCTTCTATTTTAAAAATAAAAGTTTTTGTCATAAACACATATTAGCGTTGTAGGCGCATCCTTCGAAACGTTTAGGTCAATTCCAAATACTTTTACAAATTTGTA